ACGGTGTTTATTCCTTGACGATTTACCATGAAGCCTTCAAAGAAGCGATGATCACAGCCTCCGACAAGACATGACGGAGACGTTACCGAATCGTTTTTTCCATGCGCAGCAGCCAGTTCTGTCCGTTTGCCAAATGGGAGCATTTTGAAAAGGTCAAAGACATACTCGTTTGTCCGCGAGTAAACAAGGGGGAGATTATGAAAGGTGGAACGACTTGGTCACCTGAGGAAGAGAGGCAGGGAGATTTTCTAACTGGAACGAACACTCAGATAATTCTGCAGTATGCTTAGTCGTGTAAAGAAGAGCAACACCTTGTGACTGGTTGTGGAGCTCCTCTCCAGGGACTGGTTATAGAGCTCCTCTCCATTCTGATGAACTCGCTCTCCCTTGAAGTTGTCCTAGGAGCAAATACTTCCAGTGAGCTATGTTACTTAAGAACACAAGAACATAAGAGAAACCAATGCTGGATCAGGCCAATGACTTATCCAGTCCAACACTTTGTCACACAGTGGCCAAAAGTACCCAGTGCCATCAGGAGGTCCATCAATGGGGTCAGGACACTAGAAGCCCTCCCACTGTTGCCCCCCCCCCAAAGCAACAAGAATACAGAGCATCCCTTGCCCCAGACTGAGAGTTCCTATCTATACCTTGTGGCTAATAGCCACTGATGGACCTCTGCTCCATGTGCCTATCTAATTCCCTCTTGAAACTGTCCAGGCTTGTAGCCACCGCCACCTCCTATGGCAGTGAATTCCATGTGCTAATCACTCTTTGGGTGAAGAAGGACTTCCTTTTATCTCTTCTAACCCGACTGCTCAGCAATTTCATTGAGTGCCCACGAGTTCTTGTATTGTGAGAAAGGGAGAAAAATACTTCTTTCTCTGTCTGCTGTACCCCATGCATCATCTTAGAAACTTCGATCATGTCACTCCTCAGGCATTCGTTTCTCCAAGCTAAAGAGCCCCAAGCGCTTTAACCTTTCTTTCCTGTGATGTATCTGGGACTCTACCAAGTACCAACTAGGGATGAGACTTCCCTCCCCCAAATCTGTCCTTGACCCTGCATTCCAAGGAAGGGGCTGTGGCTCAGTGGTAGAGCATCTGCTTGGCATGCAGAAGGTCCCAGGTTCAATCCCTGGGATCTCCAGTTAAGGGACCAGGTAGGAGGTAATGGGAAAGACCTCTGCCTGAGACCCTGGAGAACCACTGTCAGGCTGAGAAGACAATACCGACCTTGACGGACCGATGGTCTGATTCAGTATAAGACAGCTTCATGTGTACATACTCTTCCTGAATTCTACTTTAACTAGAAGTTTCCAAAGTTAACTTCAGAACTGTAATTGGAGCATGCACAGTTTGCCACAGATACTTCTATTGATTTGTAAACCCGCCCATTGCCAGTTACCTGTGTCCCCTAAGAAAGCACAAGAGAATAGTAATTTTGATGTGAACATATCTGTGGCTACACTAAGACTCATTTTGTGCAGTGCAAAGGGGCTGATATACAGGTGCGCATCTGTTCACCACCACACAAAGAACATCTTGCTGCAATCACATGTAATGGGCTGCTAAGACTGCTTTTTTGCAGTGTTTTATCAGTGCACCCGTGCATTTCAGTAATGCGAGAGGGACACGGCTGAACTGGAGAAACAAAAAGCTGTGGCCAGTTATGCATGTATAACATTTAATGATGAGCAGG